GCTCTCAGAACAGCTCCTCGCTCTGTTCAGCCCAGCCCGCTGCCAGGGCCGCTCGCAGCAGCTATTAATCGAGTTGGGCACATTTATTTCTGCATCCTGCAATCCCCTTTGGCAAGTCACAAATCACAGCCCGCAGCTCGATAGATGCGCCTGCAACAGCCAGCGTCAGGCAGAGGGGTATCAACAATAAATCTGAGCGAGGACACGGGAGATTTTTCTAAACACTGGGTGAATTACAGATATAAGTCTTCAGAAGAGACATTAAACCTAATGTGAAATTGAACCTTCAAAGTGACGAGCGGAGCAGTTATCCTCTGTGCTACCCACAAGTTATGCGCAAGAGGATCTCATTTAGAGAAAATCTGCCTTTGCCAAGAGAGATGAGCTGGAATCGAGCCATGATCCGGGGCTCCGGGGGGGAGCTTTAACCCTTCCCTTCCCCCCGCACGCGGCCAAGCGCCGCAGCCGTCCAGGGCCGTCAATAAACACTCACGGTTCAATCAGCGATCGTCCCTCCACAGAGCAAATCGATCGGATCTCATTGGGAGAAAACGAGATAAACAGCCGGTTAACAGCGCTCCATTTCCCTGCAAACAGGAACCCGGCCCAGGCTGCCTCCCGGGCGCAGGGAGGGAAGCCTCGGCTGGGGACAGGCTCCAGGGCTGCCCCTTTGCCGCCGCGCTGCAGCTCATCTGTCTCCCGTTGGCCCACGAGGAGAGGAGACGACCTTCTCAAGGGGGAGCGTGGAAGGACCCAGGGATGGACGGGACCGCTCCGGAGCAGGAGCACGTCACCACAGCCCCCCGCCCACCTCCCGGGACACGCACCCCTTCTTCTGCCCATGCTGTGTCACCGCGCGGCAGCCACAGCCCCGCGGGTCACTGGAGCCGTCACACCGACGTGGCCATCAGCTCCGCAGTGCCCAGGCTCCCGCACTGCACACGGGGACACGCACGGCACTGACCAGCGCCATCGCTCCCGAGCCTGGAGACGCATCTGAAGGGGCCACAATGTCCCGCAGAGGGGAGGAGGAGAGGAGACCCTGGAGGCGGGAGGAAAGGTGGTTTAATGAGGTATCCAGTATTTCAAACCACCGATGGATTAAAGAGAGGAAGGGACAGGATTTCCATGAAAATTCAGTCATTAGTGAAGCCCAAGGGTAGAGGCAATTGTTTTCTGTTTTTTTCCTCTCTTTGATGACCCAGTTTTTTTAATCTCATCAGCACCAGGCTGCAGTGTTAATTTTTAAATATACTTGGGTAACTGAGAGCATTAACTATTCATGATCTTATCTCCAATAGCTGCTGGGTCTCTGACACTGAGCCAGGGCTGAGGTGTACATAATGAACCAGCGAGAGCTGAACTTACCAGCGAAGGTGATAGCTGGTTTTTCCTGAGCATCCTGTTGAAATGATCACAGGATGGGGCAGGGTTTCACAGCACCCGTGCTCCTGGATAAAGCGAGGCTCGGGGCGCAGGCTCAGATCACTGAAGCTGTCCCCCTGCAATTGTGGTGGCTTGAAAATCATAAGAGCGCACAGAAAGCTGGGATCTGGGGCGTGCTGTGGGCATGCTGTGAACGCTCCAGCTCCAGTCCCCCGGGGAACCCCAGCACAGTTTACAAGAGGAGCCTCCTGAACCGGGGCTCTGCTGCCCCTGCCCAGCCAGGCACAGCCGAGATCAGCTTGTCAGGGGCTCCTGCAGCCAGCTGCCCAGGAACAGGTCCAGACAGCCAAGTTTCCTGTATTTTTTCCCCATGAAAATTAAATATCATAGAAGAAAAATTAATTATTTCATCTGCAACCTAACAAAGTTACACTGGATGTTCAATGTATATATCGCTTTATTGAATGAAGGTATATTACAATAGACAAACATATATTACACATGCTATACAAAATATACATTCTTATGTGAAAAAAATATAAATAGACACTAGGAAATAGCAACAGGGAACAAGAGCAGCTTTGCATGTGAACCCCCAGTTCCTGTACTGCTAGTACTTTGGCATTGACTGGAGAAACTGTGTACATACTGGAAACAGGACGGCCCCTCTGTCCTGCCTGCACCTCCCGCAGGAAAAGGGAAAGGGGGGCCTGATTTTTTCTGCAAGTCTGCCTAGGAATTTTTTCCACAACGCTGAGCACAGCAAGGTGTTCACCTACTTACAAGCTTCAGCTATTTACAACCAGCTTATGGATTTTAGAGATACCATTGCTCATGGAAGGATGCAAATGTCCTAATTCATAATGGCAGCTTTTATAGGCCAATATCTCTCAGAAATCAGTGCAGCTTTAGCTCCTAAATGGCTTCAAGAGCTAGCACTTCGCCTTGTTCTGTTGCAGACAGCATTAATTTTAAGGCCTTGGTCCTGGCCAAGCACGTCTTACCTACCTAAAGGGAATTCCATCACACCAGGGAGTCGTGCCCAAAGCACACCCAAGGTCTGGACACCCACAGCTGTCCTGTGACAGATCCATATTAGCTCTTCTCCACAAAAGAGAGTGATAAAAGAAAAAGCAACAAGCATTTCCCAAAAGGTGACAAGAGACAGAGCAGCAGCAGGGGTGCTCTTTTCCCGCTAGTGGGAAATGGTGGCTCTGCACACGCCAAGAAGCACTCTGCCACAGCAGCCCCTGTGAGTATCTGGAGAACGCAGCGAGCAGCCCAAAAGGACGAGACTTTGCTGCTGCTGCCATTCCACAACCTGACAATTCTCATCTGGATTTAAACTGAGAATACTGGATTCCTGCAACAGAGATAACTTTGGATTGAAAATAAGCACCAAGTCTTAAATGCTGTCTGGAAAAGAAAAGCCTGGAGGAAATAAAACCAGAAAGAAATGAACTTAAGATTCTTCTTTTAGCATGTACGTTATTACAACATTTCAGATGTCAGAGCCCAAAAAGAGTTTAACACACCTGTGATTCGCTCTGCTTTAGCCAAAGGTCAAGGACAGCTGGATCCTCTTCCTGCTAAAGCTGCTGGCCATCAAAGGAACCGCAGTCACTTTGAGAGCATGGTAAGAGCACTTGATAATATTTCCTCATTTGCATAGATCTGACGGTTATTCCTGCCCAAAGAGCTGTGGGAAAACAATCGTTATTCCCAGCATTTCCTCACTCATTTGCTCAAATAAGCCACAGTCTCAAAAGTCACACCCCCTCATATCCAGGAACGGATCAACAGGAAAATCACAAACCTCTCTGGGGATGGTCCAGAAAGCTTTTTCTGTCTTATGAAAATATACCACGCAGCTGTTTTCATTTTAGAACATATCCTACAGCTTGAAAAAAAGGCAACAATGACTAGGAAGAAAGCCCCCTGCTCTCCAGGTGTGAGTGCACAGCACAATGTTGAAGCACTCCAGCGCGGAGCACAATGTACCTGCTGAAAACCCACCACTGGCGAGGCTCTAACTCCTGCTACACAACATGCATTTCTGCAGAAGAACAAACTCTTCAGGCAGTCTTTATGATGTTCTTCCTCCCAGTTTTGTCAGGCACATTCCACTGTAACTAATGAAGTTTGTGCTTCCTCTGTCTCAGCGAGTACTGGGTTTTCAGTATCAAGTGGCTCCCCGCATATTGTTTAATTTCTCACCCCACATATTTAAACATTTTGGCCATGCTGAGGTCTCGGGAACTATTACAGAGGTCAATAGGGCAATAATTCCGTCTGCTATTTTATAACAGAAAAGGACACAAGTGTTTTGAAAACTACATATGCCTCCTGGCTGTGCAGAGGAAACAAAATCCACAGTATAGTTCACTGAGAATTTATCAAATGCTCTCCCAATTTATCCGATGCTTTTCATCATGACGTTATTTTTAAAAGTTCACTTAACTGTCAGCTAGGAAAACGACAAGGAGACCTCGCTGCAACATACACAATAAAAAGGCTTTTTGTAAAGATAAAAGCTTAAACTTCTGAAACAAACCACTCAAAACTCTTCTAGCTATTTTACCAGAAGGCCAGAAGGAAACATTCTGTGTGCTGCTCTTTTTGTTTGCTATTTACTAGAACTTCTGGGAAGCTGGATACCGCAGCCTGGAACACAGGTTAACGCCGCTTGTTAACACAGGGTCTGCTGGGCTTTACGCTCTACGGGACAAGATGGGTGATGATACAGAGATTTAAGCACACTCGCAACACTTAAACGGGTCAAACTTGGAACTCTGCTGATGCCATGAAAGGGATCAGCTTGCAGTCAGGTCAGCCAGCCTTAACGCACACAGAGTTGCACGTAACAATGAAATATCACAGTTTCACCACGTACCTATAGTAAATTCACTTCTGCCCAAACAAAGACAGCTCTAGCTCCTCAGAAACAAGCTTTCGGTCCCACCAGAAAAAAAACCCAAACATATGGCTTGATATGCAGCTGTCAAGACTAACAGTATGATACATACTTTGGCATAATAAAAAATATATTTACATTACAGCCAACACATTTATATGCTTAGTGTATACAAAATATTTATAAATGCAAATTTATTTACAACTAGAGTCCATTATTCATAGGAGAAAATGAGCCCCAAAGTTAGACTGGTAACAGATGCCTGCTAACAGTCTAAGGAACAAAAAGCTGGCCAAGAGTTTTATGCTTACAATTACTGGGGAATTCCATGAGGAGGCCCTGAACATTTGTTTTCAAGCAGACAATGCAGTGTGAAATAGCTATGCATTCTTGAGAGGTTTTCAAAGCATGCACCAACACAAAGGCTGCCTCCAACATCAGCAAATCCATGTTTTAATTCTATTCTTGTGGATATCACTAATCATCCACATGTTCTGTTGCACATTCCCATTTTCCAATGCACAGAAATCCAAGGAAAAAGGGCACGTGCCACCCCCTCCTAGGGAGCCTGGCTCTGGTCAGTCAGCCCGTAACTGCAGACACACATACACAAGCATCTTTGGCCTTGGGTTTGTCCTGAGGTAGTAAATACAAAAAGTCTCTTGATGATGATTTGCTGTCAAGACTTCATTTTAGTGTCTTACGTGGTTTCACTATAGTCATGAATGTTCCGTGTCCTGTTAAAATCAAAGTTGTGTTCGCGTAACCTGTGGCAAGGTCTGGGAGAAGCAGCTTGTTCCCGGTCGCTGTCAATGATGCCCTCGCTTCGAAGGGGTCGTGGGGTCTCGCGGGCTGACGGCTGATGCAGAAAGTGTGAGTGAGAGCGTGTTAGGTCTTTGTTCACTCCCCATAAAGGAAGCTGAAAGGGTTCTAAGGAAGAAAAATGAGAAGATGAACAGGAGTGAGTTCATGATAAACACACTCAAATTTTAGACAGATTTGAGTTGTGCAGCTCAACAGTAACAGTCTTTCTGGGGTTTGAGAGCATGTTTTACTGGATGCTCTCCCATTTCAGCATTCTGCTACAGTAACCAGAACAACACACACAGTTTCAGTGTGAATTTTTAAAAAGGCAACCTGGAAGAAAGTCAATATAAAAACAATCAATTTACAAAAAAAAAAAAAATCCTTTGGAGTTCTTTGAAACTCAGGCCAGCTCAAACAGAAGGGCTATTTGAATTTCCTATGTGAAGCTTTAGCTCTTGGCTAGTAATGTCCTTGAAGGACAGGCAAGGGATCTCATTCCACAAGCTTTAAGAGATGGACTGCAGATTAAGAAATACTATCTTTTTAACATCACCCTCTTCAACTCTTGGGTACCGGATGCAAACTGAGGGCTAGTTCTGAGAAGAGGTGGTTAATAAAGAGGTGAGTTACTCCACAAACCGCAGTCACTTGAAGAACGAGCTGTGTGTCAATGGCGAGGGGCAGCACATGGAAGGCCAGTTATCAGGGAATACAAAGTGACAAAAGGCAAGAGGTGACACTCACCATTAATCTGCTGGGAGGAGATCTTCTTTTCACTTATTTTGTCGTGGTTGGTAAGGAAGACAGACATGTCTCTGTCTACTAGGAGATTATCAAGAGTACTGGTTTCATGCTGGGTGCGTGTGGTATACGTTTCCTTAGGCATCTGCACCATGAGATTAGGGAGAGCTTGATCCAGGGGGTCCTCTTCTGTGATGTAGGCATAGGGGCAGTACTCGCGTGTCCTGGAGTAGATGTTCGCATTGTCGTAACAGTCTGAGCAGATCACCAATGGTGCTGCACCACCACCTGAGAAACACGATGGAAAAACCAAATACTCTCAAAAAGGAAAAGGATGCTCGATTTCCAGAGATCTTCATGTCTTAGCATGACCCTGTACTACAGCGGCACAGTTTGAACACCCTTTATACAGTTAACCTGGTAACAGAACGCTCAGCTTGACTGTTCACTGAAAGAGTCACATGAGGAACGCTCTAGGTTCCCCACCACCCAAATTCTCAACAGCGCTGCCCTTCTGAGGCTCACCAGGGGAAAACCATGGACACGACCCAGAGCGATCGCATGTTTGCTCTCCTATTTCAAGGGCAAAAGGGTTCAATGCAGGTCCAACCACTGGGCCAGAAGCCTTGACAGCAGAATATAAACAAACACTAGAAGAAAAACAGGAGATGCCTCAAACGCAGAACAATAAATGGGAATTTTTGGATCAACCTGAATTAGTCTCTGGGAAAAGTCACCTTTGATGTTAACATGCAGTACTACGCTGCATTGTGCAATACTGCTGCCAGCTACGAGGACTAGACTGCGCACTGGCATCCTGCTGGAACACGAGGAATACACGTGAGGGCTTTGCTTACCATCTGTGCCTTTATGCACGTAGCTACTGGCTGGAGGCATGAGCTGCTGATGGCTTCCTGCCTCTGAGTTACTGTAGCCCTCCTGAGGCTCTGACAGAGTTCCTTGGGAGGACAGGTAGCTGGGAATGTCTGCAGGTAGGTTCATCTCCTCTGCAAGGCAGAATTAACACTGATGACTTCAACAGCTAAGTGTGAACATTTCAAGGTAGTCCCAACACTGTTACCCACATTAGCAAAAATGTCACACAGAATTTCAACTCACATATAGTTATCTTTTTTCTACCTCAGTGATTAAAAAATCCATATAGCTAGTTCAGAACTAACAAGGCCTGAATGGAAATTTACACACATTATTCCAGGTTCTGCAACCATTTCTAAGTTTATTCAAATATTTATTTCCAAAATTTACTGTTTTCCCTCAACATAGAACAAATCTACTGTACCAGGAATAAAATTAACGCACTTTTGATACTTTAAAACAACTCTAAACTGAGGGATTTGAGCAAGTTTGAGGAGATTCTAGAAGGCAAGTTTCGTTCTTCAATCTTACCTGTCACGAACCCAGAAATTTCACCACCCTTAACAAATGTTTTGGATCAAAACCAGGGTTGAAGACTGTTGCTTTTGCACTTTACCTGTGTTAGTGATGCTGTAATCTTCACTCCTCCTCCTCATGTGGTAGATGACGATAACCCACACCAGGGAAGTTCCCACCACGCAGCACACCACGACAATAATCACAATGCCCACGGTGGTCCAGCCATCCTCCTCGTGGACAATGCCGCTCTGGGAGGAATCACAGTTTGGGGAAACCAGGACATTCAGGTAAATATGGCCACGCTCAGTGCCCAGTGTGTTGGACATAATGCACGTGTACTTCCCAGCATCCTCTAGCCCAGCATCCACAATGATGAGGAGTTGGTTGGCCGCTGCAAAAAAATGCCGTTCTGTGACGGTCAGAGGGCCATCGTCCTTAGTCCAGTTGAGGCGAGGGGCGGGACTGCCGCCGGCTATGCACTGCAAGACTGCGGTTTCACCGCGGGTTACCGTTCTGTCTTCCAGGGGCCTGATGAAGGAAGGCGTTTCTGTGACAGTGGAGGGAAAAAAACCCCAACACATTGTAAGATAACTTCATTGTGCAACACCAGTATGTACTCCATGATATTTTAAAATCTGATCTTACAACCTGAACCTAGGCTTGAGCAATGAAACACAGGATTCAGGAAATCCTGAATTCAGCTCTTCTACGGATCACTGTGGCAAACGCAGGTACAGCAAACATCCCCAAAATTACACTAGCCACAGTCTGCTTTACCTATTCCAATTCAAAATTCATATATGACCATAATGTTAAAAGTCAGTGTCTTCAAAATATACCGCATTCTGGAAGAAACTGTCCTTCCATCACTACTCAGCATAGTTAACGTTACCTGTGACTAGATTTTTTCCAAGACAACACAAATCATCTGTCTGATCTACACTGCTGCATTGAGATATGCCCCTCAGTTCCCCCCTGCAAAGATCACACTAACTCCACTGGTTAGCGCTGTAGCTTAGCTTCTAGAACTTCACTGTTCAAAAATAATGTCCGGTGCTGCTCTTCATATTTTAACTTCATTCTTTAAGGCTTAAGCTTCCTACTTACAGGTAAGCTACACTACCACTGCAGAAGTGAAGGGATCCACATGCAAGCACAGGTTAGCACACCGCTTACCTAACACCGTCAGCGTGGCATTTGCTGACAAACCACCTGCAATGTTTTGTGCCATACAGCTGTAGATGCCCATGTCTTCTATTTTCACATTTGCAATAAAGAACACATCATCCTCGGGCATGACATGCATCCTCCTCTCTCTTGCAGCAGGGAAGTCTGTGCCACCATCCTTCTGCCAGGAGATCTGTGGAGTAGGGTGGCCCTCGGCAGCACACTCCAGCCGGGCCATCGCCCCGGTGCGGATAGTCAGATCCATGGGGGTTTTCAGGAAAGAAGGCAGCTCTGGATCAAAGGAGACAGTTTCAGTCCAAGGGAAAAAGCACCAAAAGCTCCACAGCACAGAGAATATCTGAAACCAAAGGACTTCATAATTGATTTTTCAGAGTTTGTTTCCAGCCCCACCAGTTACTTTTAGTCGAATCTTCCCCAGCTTCACAAACACATGGGAAAGGTGCTTAGTTCTGAAGAAACAGCAGAGGGAGCTTTTAGTTTAAGAGACTTCTACCTCCATTTAACTAGATGAACAAATAATTGTGTTACAGTGAAAGCCTGGGAGAGATCTGCCCCTTTCAAAAGTGAGCAGAAGGCTTCTCACTCACAAGAAAAACATCTCTTCTTTCCTGCTTTATAGAAGATGTTTGATGCTTCTAAATACCAGTAAGACAGTCTCACAGGACTATTTTGGCCCAGCTCTAGTGAAAAATAGCCTTGTAGCTATTTAAATAAAGCTTTAGATTAAAAGCATTTCTCCTTTGTTTCCATTATTGCTTACCATTGACAGTCAGCTTGGCTTTGTTGGAATAGTTGGAGCCAAAGTGATTGGTGATGATGCACTGATACTTCCCTTCATCAGTGAAATTCACATTGAAAAGGTGCAGGACAGTGGTATACTCGACAACCTCACCACTTTGCTGCTGGTATCTGGCAAAATTCTCAACCTCTGCATCATACAGTACTTCACTGTCTTTACGCCAGGCCGTGGACATGGGTGAATCACTGCTGCTCACAGCAGTGCAAGTCAGGGTCACATTCATGCCTCGCAGAGCAACCGTGGTCTCGGGATGCACTCTTATCTGCGGTTTAGGGAAATTATCTGAAAATGAAAGCGCTAAGATTTGTTACTTTCCTCTTCAACTTGCAATTAATATTGCAAGAAAACTCACTCAAAAGACAATGCAGGCAGAAAGCAAGCTTTGGAAACAGACGTCCTGCTGGTGGTGCACACATTCAGCCGTTTTCACTTGGAAATCCAGCTGTGAAAGAGGATTAGAAGCACCGGTAGGCATACAGAATACACACTGAGGACAATCAGTGCAGAAGCCTGGTCTCGAGCAGTGCCCTGCATTTTGTACGTGTCTGGAACCTGCTATACTTAGATCACAGAAAAGCTGTGCTCATCTGAAGAGCCAGGCTATTTTATGAAGGACTGGGACGTATTTTCAGACAGTTTAAACTTCTTGAAGAGCCTTTAAGTTCTACAAATACAAAGCATAGTGAGCTGGCAGTTCACTGTCTCATCCCACTCGATAGTTACTTCAATACCTATTATTTCAGCAAAGATTCTCGTAGGCGCACCGCGTTCAGCGTCAGGTATCACGGTGGCGATATTAGAATGAAGTGGGTGCTTGCGCCTACATGACGGTTATTGTAGCCTTTACCTCCAAAAGAACGAGAGAATTGCGTACACACAAGTAACGCTTATCAGACTGCTCACGCAGAAAATGGAACACCAGACTATTTCCAGGCCTGCCACAGACTCTGGACAAAGAGTCTCTCAGTTTTCCATCTCACAGTTCAGTTGCAAAAATAAACAGGCTGATGTCTGAAACTGTGGTGGCAGAGACCAGATCAACATTACAGAGCATCAGAAAACGTGCCACAGTACTAACTACTCTGGCCCTGCTGGTACAGACAAGAATCAATACAGAAGTGTCAAACAGCCCTTCCAAGGCTAAAGGCATGCACCAGCAGGGAGAATGGAAGCAGCATCAGGTTTTAACAGTAACCCAAACGAAAAACAATGCAGTCTCACAGAATTACTCCTTTAGGCTAGCTTCAGTGCTCAAATACAACAAAGCAGAGCAAAGAGAAACAGAACTAAATCCCAAACTCCAAAGCAGATCCAGTACCGTACACAGGCCCACACGTGCCCCACGGCCAAAACCAAGTACCTCCAGCAGCGCTACAGCCTGCTTTCAGAAAGGCACCTGCTCAGATTGGTGTTAACATGTTTTTTATCAAAAGTCATTAAAAACACAAACCACAGACAAAGTCATCAGGGTCCACACTGAGAAGGCTTTGTCCTGCCAACCATTCGGGATGAGCACAGCTAACACTGACCGCCTGCTGCAAATGGCTGTCAGCGAGCCACTGCGGCAGCCACTTCAGCTGGCAATCGCAGAGCAAGCTGCTGGTGTTCAAAATTCTGCAGAAGAAAGGCAAAACAGAAGCGTGATTAAAGTTTACGTATTTTGCATTCCTACAGCATTTCATGCAGCATACCAACTTGAAATATATATGTTCAGCAATTTCAAGATTTACAGTACTCTTTCATGCCTATGGGTATTTACTATAAAATGTTAGCAATACAAGCTATGAAAAATCCAGCAAAACCCTCCCTCTAGGTCAGCATTAAAACTTTATATTTCTTTTTAATTCTGAAGAAGAAAAAAATCTTGATTTTCCACTTCTAAAAACAATATTGAGCTTGCCTTTACAATTATCCCATCCCTTTTTAAAGCAATTAAAAAGAACATAACACTGCAGAGCAGCTCTATGTCTCAAACATAACACACTTGCCATTATGAAATGAGTATAAGCCTCCATGATCATTTTCATGCCAGCTGAAAGTGATTTGTTTCATACAGGTATCTCCTGTAGATTGTTTTCTCTGCTCCACAGAAAAAGTGCAAACATGGAACAACAATGGGTCACTGTTTCCCCCACCACCTGCTTTCAAAGTTTCCTAATTACATATGACTGGAGAAATCCCAGCATTTTAACAAGAAGTGATCTGCCACTAGATGAATCCAGAAGCAAAAGAGGAGAGGCACACAAACAAGCCGCGATTCCATCCTGCTGTTTGCCACTACATACCAACAACTGTTCACTTTTAAGATACTTTGGAGAATGCAATGAAAGTCTTGTCTTTAGCACCTAAAATGTGTCTCCTCAAACTGGCAGATCTTGCAGGCTAAGTCCATCTGGCCAAGATTAACTAATTGAATAACAGTTTTAAAACAGATTACACGATATTCAGAGACTCTATCTCATAGAGATGACTGCCTTACAGTAGGATTAGTCTTGGGTGTGAGGGTCATTTCATAATACTTTAAATGTCTGAAAATCACAAGAGGCTCTAGCAGCTTAAGCATCTGCTGAGCATGTAAAAATTCTTGTCTAGCTATGAATCTTAAAGGCTTTGTCTTCCCATTTTTGGGGCTAGAGAAAATGTAGGGTTTGCTAACCTCCCTGAAAGATTCCTGATGAATTATTTTTTCTGTTCACTCTCTACATGCTAGCATGTGCTGAGCTTGTTGCAAAATCATAAGATGTGAAAAACTTAATGGTCCAGCACTGCAAGAAAAAAATGTTTTCTACTAATTGCAATTAAGGAAATGGAAGTGCAGATTTTATCACACCTTAAATCTAAGTACACTGCTACAGACTGAGTTGATAATTTACCAGCATTATTTTAAATACTTCATGATGAAAGCAGACACACTTCAGTCAACATCAGCCAATCCTACAATTGCTGAAGGATCTGTCAATAATTGTCATGAACTTACAGCTCCTTCAGATGAGCCTGGGCAAACGCATTTTCTTGGATGGACATTACTGCATTGTTGCTTAAATCTCTGCAAGTGAAGCAAATAGAACAATAATAGGTTAAGTATGATTTCATATGCCACCTTCAGTTCAATTCTTGGAAATTTGACAGAGAATACAAGACTGAAGTTGACAAATAATTAGACGTTCTACAGAGTACTTACAGATGTTCAAGCCCTTCAAGACCAGAGAACGCTTTTTTGGTAATTGACTTAATCTGGTTTCCTTGCAAGATTCTGAAAGACAAACCCCCCAAACCCAGAGACCAGTCTGAATGTCAATATGATTTCACAAATAAGACCCAAAACAAGTTCCCCACAATGTTTACCTTCTTCCTAATTCTAGCTGAGCTAAAAGATCAAATACTATTTTTTGAGCTTAAGGGCCCAAATAATTTTCCCAAGAACAAGGCTTCTTTTCCATTCCTAACTTAGAGATTTGGGTTAGAGATGTGTCAGAAGATAATTTAAGTCATCAGAATGAAGCAGTGATAAGTAGAACTTGGGAGCAGAGCAATAACTTCCTAATACCAATTTGCCACAATTACCTAATATTTTGCACTCCCCCTCTACTCTGCGTGCCTGGGAAGCACTGTCATTTCACTGGTTGGTAATACATACAGTTTATCCAGCCTGCTGAGTCCCACAAATGCTTCATTTGCATCTTCTATGGCCCAGGAGATCTCATTGTTCCGCAAGTCCCTGCAGGAGAAGAGCTTTCTTATAAAGCAGCCTTGCAACATCACCATGACCACTGCTAGTGGCGAGCTGGGGAGGGAACCCGAGTGCTGCCCAGGCCTGCTGGGGTGTTCTGGCAGGATCACCGGGGAGGTCTCAAACCTTTTATAAAACTACACTTGTCACAGGGTGAATATTCCATTCCAGAGATGCAAGGGAAAAGAGACTTGTTCAAGATAAGTGCCGCAGACAGAACCACAAACAAATTCTTTAGTACAACTTCTTGATGTGGTATGGAAGGAAAGACCCAGCCTGGCGAGCGCTTGTCATGTGAAGGGCTGTTTACCAGGGGCTGGGAGAGGCTCCCGGGGCAAGCTGGCTCATGTAAGTGAATTAACCAGTACAGTAGCTGCGCTAATCTTCCTGAGCAACAGGCTTATAGCAGCATTAGCATGTTAAGAGATTGCACACAGGTTACAGTGTAAGGTTGCCAGCCATGAAGCAGAAGATTTTCAGAACGAAGTTGATATTCTGTTCCTAAATCTTGTTAGCAGCTAATGGGATTTCTGTCTGACCTCTGCACAGCACTTTGGCCCCTCACACGGCAAAAGCAACACAGCAATGTGGTTCAGAGAGAATTAAACACTTTAGAAAGAAGGCAAAATAAATTCAGTTGCATTTTTAGTCTGAAGGGCCCACACTGAGCCAACAGTTTCCATCAAAGCCACAGTTTTCATCTTTTGATACCACTGTGCACAGAAGTCCCTGCAGACAGGAGTGTGTTTAAAGGAAAATACAGTAATGAAAAATGCATTTTATCAGATATTGTATGCATCGGCTTGATGGAGCTTCCAAACAAGTCAACTGACACAGAAAGCAAGCTACGTATACAGCCAATTGTATACATCATCTCATATAAATGCTTCTTTCCTTGGGCTAATGGCGAAAAAATGAAGTATCTACCTTCCCTTGGGTGAGGCTGTAAATTGCGCAGAATACTGTCCTGGAAGAGACTTGGATCAGCCTCCAGGGCATTGTCAGCAGTAACACGTTATTTTCTTATTTTTGTTACTTTGAAATATGGAAGTCTCTTGTTAACAGCGTGCAGCAGTAATTTCCACAATTAATATACATACATTTTAAAGTTTAGGGCAAAAATAAAAGAATTCCACAATTCATGCATCACACAAAGTCATAACAAATACGGCCTTGATACTCGCTCACTTTAAGTATTTTCCTCTTTGAAAATTATTCAAGCTAAGGGATGCAATCTAATAAGAATGACTGTATGAATAACATGCCAAATTTATCTCCAAGTCACTAATTCTTATGATTTGAAACTTGTTTCTAGAGTTATCTCCAGATTTGCTTCAGAAATTTGGATTGTGAATGCAGGGGGGTATCAATGCCAAGCCACTCACAGTATTATGAAGTCAACAATGCGATAAGATGTAAAACTTCAGAACTTCAGTGCTATTCTTAGAGACACCTTTAATCCTACCTCGCTCTTAATACCTTGTAGTTAACATCCAGTTTTACAGTTTATTATCCTGAACTAGAGCGACTCTGCAGAACAGCAGCAGGAGCTGGACCAACCAGCAGACAAGCAACAATGGAACTAATCCAACACGGTATCTCCTGATGTTTGAAGTATTTTTACACTCCACTACTCAGACCACTTAGCAAAATGAGTGAGCAACCCCAAAGAAAAGCCCCTCATTGTGTGAGCTGAGGAGCTGGCTCCTCATGCCTGGCTGGGCACAAATGCTTGGAGCCTTGTTAATCACCACTGCCCTGTCCTGCACATTCCAACCCCCAAGCAAATGGCCAGCCGCTCAGCTGTTGACACCCCCGAGGAGCCCAGGAAAACCTACTAATTAATCTCCTCTTGTTCTTTTTCATGCTACTCTAAATCTAAGAAATTAGTTTTAATTATTTCATTAAAGGGTTGCATTAAGGTTAACAGAATATGACTGCTTACATAAATCTCTCTGGTGAGTTTGCTTATTTAAGCATTTATTCAATGAACTGACAGAGGGGTTACAAACTTTCACTCCTTTCTCAACTACCATTGTTCAGGATGATTACAACTGTTCAGATCTACTTGGGACACACTTTTTTATGAAGAGCCAGGATCTCAAACAGCTGCAGCCGCTACAGAAGGTCCTGGCAAGTGCAGAGCTGTGCTCCTGCCAGCAAGAAGCAATCCTACGCTCCTCCTGTGGCTTCAGCACACAAGCAGGGAGGGCTGAACCGTACCGCCTGCAACCAAATGGATTCATCGCTTGGTTTCTGAGGTTCCAACCCCAACAAAACCCTCCGGAATAAAGAGAGGGCCAGGCTGACCATTCGTTCCGCAACTGGCGTTCATGCAAGCTGACTATCCACACCGGCTCAGAACCGGTGTCACATGCCACTGGGCACTCAGGGTCACCAAGCCACAGTTTCTTATCACTACTAAAATGAAGTGGATGGTTTGTTTTAGCTGGGCCAGAATTCTGTTATCTTGGCAGACCAAAAGATATCAGCCCTGCCACACCTGCAGGCAGGACAGCGCACAACGCCAAAGCACTGATCTCAGGCTTGCACATTGCAATGTGCCTTGTCCTTAATTCCAAAAGCTTCACTGCATTCAACTGAGATTTTAACTACAAGTTTTCTGTACTTACAAGGTTTGAAGATTTGTCAGCCCTCTAAACACACCATCAGCAATGTGACTAATGCGATTGTCACCCAGGTTTAGTTTCTCCAACAAACCAAGTCCCACAAAGGCAGACTCCTTGAGGCGAGTTAGCTGGTTGTACGACAGGTCTCTAGAAACATTGAACATGCACTTTAGAGGCAAGTAGAGGGGGATTAATTACGAAGATACTGTCAAACTTGATTAACTATTGAGTTTCGATTAATTTCTCTAGCAGAACACTTAAGTAAAATTCACAGCATTACCATGGGCCTAGCAAGGAAACTGAGTACCTCCTTTGGTAATTTGTTCTTGCTACATACAAGCTCTCCAATCTGTTATTGCAACACTACAAAATCCCCAGAGAAAAGGAGCCCAGGACTTACAGCTCAGAAAGTCTTTGGCAGAACTCCCATGCATCTGGACTGATCCTGTTAATGGCATTCTGGCTAACGTAGAGTTGCTGCAATGTCCGCAGACCATACAGCCAGCCTTTGTTTACTTCTGTTAAGTTATTATGTTCCAGTTCTCTAAGGAATTAGAGGGAAAAATATTTGCCAAATAGATAATCAATGAAACATATTTACAAAATTTCACCTTGCAGATCTCAAAATTATTTACTAACATTAAGCCTTAGGCAACCTGAAATGCACAAGTATATTCATTCCACTGAAACCGAAAGAGCTAACGCATGGAAATGAAGAACTGAGTAACTCAACAAGACTGCAGTGATCCAGTGGCAGAAGCAAAACCATAATCTCTGTTCTCAAAGATTTTTTAAAAATCTTTTGCTAACACTACATGGCACACCCCTGAGCTATCTCAGTCAGTCACCCAACAAAGAACCATCCCATGTTATGGGGAGTGCAAATGAAAACCAGCAAAAAGCAAGCTACAGAGTCAAAGCATTCGTGATCACCAAGCGGGAAAAAGTTGGGGAGAGAGCCAGTATCTTTCCAACTCTGAAGTAACCAGACATGATATCAAAATAATAGCAAAATTCAGATGCGTGAGCTCATTTGCTGTGATGCTCACCAATATCCCAGCACAGCCTTGATGTATGGAAAGCCATACAGGACACAACCCTCCACAGCTACAGTCCCTAAAAGAAATTCCATGACCAGGCATACTCACAATTCTTCTATATTACCCAGGCCAAAGAACGCTCCATCCATTAGTCTGCTAATCCCATTGCGCTGCATTTTCAAGGACTTTAAGGATTCCAGTCCTTGGAATGTAAGACTTTCCACTGTTTTAATCCGGTTCCTCTTCAGTTCCCTTTTATAAAGATGACACCCAAGTATTAAGACATCTTTTGATAAGCGCCACTTTGTGAAAGTCAAGAAGACACGCTGAGACGAACAACACAGCTGTCAACGCCACGTTTTTAAGCTTTCAAGACTGCTACTTACAGAAACTGCACGTGAGGCAATTTGAAGATCTTTGGTGGAATCACACTAATCCTGTTTCTGTTCAGCTTTACCACCATTAGTGAGCTAGATAAGTTATCAAGACAGCCTGCTTCTAGAGTAGTTATCCTGTTGTTACTCAGATTCCTAGGAAAGGAAGAGGAAAAGAGGCCTTTCAGAACACAGAGAATTTTATGAACACAACTCCACAAGCACTTCAAAGCAACCACTTGTTATGAAAACTCCAGTTCCTTGTGAAGTCACATCCCAAATCTGAGTTCTGGTATACCAAACTAAACTATTTTCCCAAGAGAATCAGTGCCAGCAGCTGATTGTTACTGCATGCCCACGCTTCAGTTAGACATGGTTAAGACAATGTCACGGGTGATCCACTCAAAATGGCCAGAAATCGCTCCATGTCCCTGCTGGCTGGAGCACCCGCCCTTTGACAACAGCAGCTATTGTTTTCCATTCTATTTAAGAAAATGCAACATGGACCGTATGGAAAGCATTTTATTTCAAGCACATCTGTAGCTACGTTAAGCGCTGCTACCAGTTCAAAGCCACACAAGGCTGCCTACTGCAAGACAGTAACTTAAGAGTAGACGAGATCTTCAACATCACAGTCGTGGAGCCAGGAACCCCAGACACAACAGATCACTCGTACTTACAGGTACTTCAGCTGCATCCGTGGAAAAGAAGAAGCTTTAATTTCTGAGATAAGATTAGAACTAAGATCTAGATTTTCCAATGAAAGGTAAACTTGGAGTTGCTCTGCATTTATTTCTGGAATGGTATTGTGCACCCTGAAAAATACCAGCAACAAATGTGATTAGCAAAACATCCCATCCTTCAAGCCACGCAGCTGAAACAGTACAGGAGCAGCACTGCTGGCAAGCCTCTTAAATGGGACACACTTCCCAGTGTTCATTCCTAAAGCAATGCTGAAAATCTGAGAGCTATCTGCCACCTTGACATATAAATAGATTCAAATTCTGGGGCCGGTAGTTGGGCTGCTCCGTGTGGGAACTGTCATTCCTCCCCTTCAAAGCTGCCTGCCCTGGTTGACTGCATTTTATTGGTAATTTAGGGTGACTTGATTGTCTAACTGATTTGTATTTCTTTAAAGAGTGCTTACATATTCCCTGAAGCACTTTAGATGAGCAGTATTTCCAGACAAAAGCTGCTATGTTTTCCTGCAACTTGACAGCAGAACTCTAACACAATTCTCCCATTTGTTAAACAAGAAAGCAGCAGACAAGCTATTACTTACAATGAGAGAAGAGTTATATTAGAAGTCGTTTCTCCAAAATATGGAATTTCACTTAGCTCATTGTAATTCATTTTCCTAAAAAAAAAAAAAAAAAAAAAAGATTACTGGCACTTCAAAGGACAGAAACATCCTTCTGTACAAAGCAGAAATAAATTGTATCACAGAACGCATTTAAAAATGTTATGTTAATAATACTTAGTAGTTGACAAAAAAGATTCCCTAAAAGCTTAAACACTAATAATTCGAACAATTTAATAGCGAAGCATGCTACTTTTTACCATTTTCATGGATGCTATTGCTTCTGTTTAACTTAGAATCAGCTATAGGCAAAACAAACATGTCTCATTTATTTTTTAAAATACCAGTCTTCTAATCTTTTATGAAAAAAATCTGCTTACAAAGTATCAGTTTCATACATAAAGTGTGCTGCCAAGATAGAGCATCCATTTTTAATTAACTGGCACTGAATATTTCTACAATCCAGACCAGATATCTAGACATGCAATGAAATGTACTAATTAGAATGAGGTAGGAGATCTTGAGAGTTTATCCTCATAAAAACCAACTTACACTTCTTGAAGCGTATGAACAGACAAATCAATGCTCCAGTTGGATGACAATAAATGATTATGACTTAAATCCCTAGAGAATACAGAGAAAAGTTATTCTAGATCCTGGAATTAAAAAAATAAGAAAATGTATGCTTTATCCAACCTAAAAGTTTTGAACCGTATTTATCACACATACAATTCCTCCCTTCACCAAAGGAAGAGGAGACTCCTCCCAGCTTCTTGTAGTGGTCACTCACAATAAAAGTCTAGGCAGTTCTACTTCTCTGTTTGTATCAAACAACTTTTCTGTTAAAAAGGCCTCTCGAAAGAAAGATCACACCTGACCAGAGCATTTTTCCTTTAAATCATAGACAACACTTGCCTATTGCAAAAAAAAAAAAAACTTTCCAGGGACACAAAAACAACTTCTTTCAAATGCCCGTATTGAACTGTTTTCTGGAGCAGCGATCCCCATCTCCTCAGCTGCCCAGCTCTGCAAAGATGCCGACTAGTCGAGGCAGGCTCATTTTAAAGGAACAACACACACACCATTACCAAACAGGCTGGAGGGGAGAGAAACGTGAGCCTGGGAAGCTTGCAGAAGGCATGCTTTAGTGCCGGTTGGTTTTGCTTATCCAAAACAAATGCAGGAGCTGGATTGTTCCAATGGGCAAGAGAGCTGTTAAATGTGTTTGAGTGCCCACAGTGGATGCTGATGCCTTCGACTTGGTGCATAAAATGTTACAGGGGGAAAAAAACCAAACGGGTCTACTTCTGAGAGCAAACTCTTTGGGCACGGACTATCTCTATTTTGCAACACGAGCCAAAGCATGAACAATAACAACAAAAACTCAGGTTTGTGATGGAAATGTGGCTCAAGCTGTGCCAGTGAGGAGAGACAGACACCGCTCTGAATGGTCAGACCAGCTCATCTTTTTGATGCCTTTCTGGCAGGAGGCCAGAACGGAGACAAATCCCCGAAGCTGGTGCCGACAGCCTGAGATGTTGGCCTGGCACCACCAGCAAGCTTGTGGAACACGACTGATAGCCTCGCCACAGTCAGAAACCTGTCGATGGGTGCATCTGGAACTGGATGCTGCCTGTTGAATCAGGTCTGTCTCTGCTAGCAAGCTGTGCCTGCCTGCCAGCAAGGCATCCCGCTTCTCACTCCGCTTCCAGTTCTACCATCGAGGAGAGAGCTACCACGAGCCGCTTTCAGAAAGCAAAAGCTGTTCACCCCGATGAGTTCCCTGGCAAGGTCCTGTATCACTGATTCTCCTTCACGACTACAGGAGTAAGAGCACGGATTTATTACGGCTCTTTTTAGGATTATCAGGCAGGCTACAGCTATGCTGACACCAAAGACAAAATTATCCTTTAAGAACAAAGCTACCGCATATCTCTTGAAAGAATATTAAAATGCAATTGACAACCAGGCTCGGGCACTCACTGGGTCTGTGGCCGACTTCAGCTACACTGAGGGTAGAACCTGTACAGGCACAAAACTGCCCAAAACCTATGACAAGGGAAAGAAAAGAAATTGCACTGGTGCCCCTGCTGAAGAAGGGGTTGTGGTACAAATTTAACCTTGCCAAGAACCAGCCGGTGGGTGTTCAGGCCGCCACAAGAACCCTCCATGCAGGGAAGACTCGCCGCTAACCAGAAGACAACCTGAGCAGGACCTGGTTTTATTCAGGTAGCAACCACCAGCATCGTGCTTCCCTCCCCCGCTCCAGATGACTGCCTGACACACAGGGCTTGCTTTCCTTGTTCTAAAGAATGCAATGTTAAGATGCAGACACATAAAAAAATATTCACTAACGCTTTGACTTCCGTACCCTTTTCATCACCCCACCAGGTTATCCATCAAACATCTGATTTTGCAGGAAACACGAAGTTACAGTGCCTGAATACTTCTGTCATGAAAAAGGGTTCTGAAGGTGCTCTCCTGGCCTTATTAAAAACAAAATACCCAAACAAAATTAAAAACCCCACATGCTGAAAGTATCACCTGCAAGCGGTTTGAAAGAGTTCGGAAAAACAACGATTTTTAGTCCTCAAAGTTAGGTGAAATGACACCACAGAACTGAGAAGGAAAAGCACATTAGGAACTTTTTCATGTGAGGAAAAATTAAGCTTTGGTTTATTTTAAACAGCTTGTGTGCATTATAGCTCGTTTAGATTCAGAACTGCTAGAGCAGTCCTAGTGAAGAAAAAATGTCCACCCCCCTCATCGTGTGCCAAAATCCCGAAAGCCACAACAGAGAACATACACTTAATTATTGTTTGCAGCATACGTCAGATTGCATAACGCAGCACAGTGCCAGCACCGCTTCTTCCCACTGCGCTTTGTGCCAAGCAGTTCTAAACACACCCTCTATCAGCTTGGAGAAAGATACAAGTATTTGTTGAAGCTTGAAAACCTGCTCTGCAGACAGCAGGGATATCGTTTGCTTATTAGCCACCTGATGAACTTCCAGCTCACTTTTCCAGGCACTGACACCCTCCCTGACAAGTGTTAACACCGAGATATCCTCGTTTCACAGACAAGTTAACTGTACTTCTATGCCGAAACACACATTTTTGTCTCAAACATCGCCCATTGCTTATCACGCAGGGAAGGAAGAGAACTACAGAACCACAAAGTGGCAAGAAGGTGACAAGCTTCCTTAGATGTGCCCAGTTTTTAATACGGATCAGACTCTTGAGTCCTGCTAGAGGAACTCCTGGAGTTAACTGAACAGTGGTTTGTATGTTTATGTTATCTTCCAAACAGGGGTTTTTTCTTGGTGTGGAATACTTGTCCTTCTATCAACCGCGAAACACGATCACTCCAAGAGGGCCTGAGAACTCCTCTGCCCACAGAAGTGGTTTTTGATGTCCCTCATACTTCAGCACCTCATCCACCCCAGGACGCTGTGGCCAAAGGTGACACACACAAAGGTGACAGTAACAGCCAAGGAAAGATAAAGGCACAGAGCACCAGACCCTGCGTGACCACTGTGCAGCACATGGTCTAATTAAACTCTTAGGAGCAGAGACTAACGGTGGCTCTGAATTCATTTTTTGTTGTTTTTTGGGGGTTTTTTTGGAAAAACAATGGCAGCAAATGTCAAGGGGAGCCCACAGTGGGGGGGGAAAGGAGGGAGTCACGGAGCTGCAAAGCAGCAAAGGGATGCAGAGGAAATCAGAAGTGGCAGGAACTGCCACAGCGTGCAGCTGAAGTCAGGGGCTGGAAGGAAAATTTCCAAGAGTAATCCCAGGTGACTGCGTCCTGCAGCTTGACCTGAGAAAAGTCCTGGTGTGACTGCCGTTACCCAACGCCTTACTAACCCCAACCCGCTTCCCGGCGAGCCCACGGCACGGAGCCTTCCCCGGGGCAGCGGTGCCGGTCCCTCTGCCCCACGGCTCCGCTCCAGCGGTTTTCCCTCGGCCGCTGCTCCTCCGA